ATAACAGAAATCATTGGGTAAGTGGAATAAAAAATAGTTCCAACCATTTATCAGGACAGTTTGGCTCACATTTGACATAGGTTACCTCTCCCAGCTCTTGATTATTTTACAGACTGGATTATTTTAGACTCAAAAACTGCAGAATTGATTAGGTATGCTGAAGGACAATGCTGGCATGCATGAAGTTAGTTTTTTTTGTTGTTGTTTTGTTTTGTTTTTAAGATTACTGAATAGAATTTCATTGCACCAAAATCCATCAAATCTAAGAGAAGACATCTGACCCATTGATCCCCCATATGGAGCATGTGTGCTGCCATTTGGATTCTCCCTATCCCACTCTGACTGTGACCAGCATTATCAATGATCATAGTTCTTTTTTCCACTGAGCCTAGATTTAGCATCACAGTCTTTCTCAAATCAGAGTACAGTCTCTTCTAATTAATGATGTAGAATTGTTTGAAAACTGTCTGCTATCTCTGATGGAAGAAAAGACAGTAGTTCATTATGATTTTCTCACATCATCTAGCTATTTAGTAACTGAGGCAGAATTAAAGCAGAGATTACCTGGCTCTTTGTTCAGTATTTTTTTTCATTACCCCTATACAGACTAAAAAGGATTTTGAGATCTTAGGAGGAAAAGGGCCGTAGTTGTCTGATAAATTATAGCTTTGTCTTGCTTTTTTAATAATATTATATCATATATTCCACTTAGGAACTTCCAGTAATAGAAGATTACTTATAGTATAATAATTATATTTTTCATGATTTGATATACAATTTAATTATAATTATATTCTAAAAAAAATACACTCACCCACACACAGAGGGTCATTTAAAAGTTTTTTGTTTTTTTTTTAGGAAGAAGGTAGTGTAATACTCTGTACTTTGAAACAAACATAAAAATAATGACACTATTGTCAATGGCCAGACCACTTTTTATTTAGGCTAATCATCACAAGAAGAGGATTTCTACATTGTATTCAGTTTTTTTTGCTTTTGATCATTTGAAAATAATTATTAACACATGGATATTTGATCATTTTAATTAAACATTTCAAAACTGAGTTCATATGAAAAAATTAACTTTTTATAAACTTAAAAAAATTAACCATTTGCTTATAGTATTATAAATAAATTCTCTATATATTGCCATTTTAAAATTAGATTTAGATAACCCTTTTCCCCATCTTATGTTCAACGTTGTTTTTGTTTTATAAACAGTGAAACTGTTTATCTCATTTAAATTGTTATTTAGGGGAGAGGAAAAAGTGCATTACACACAGTCATTAACTCGTGATGGCTCATTTTAGTTTCTTATTGAATCAGTCTTTGAGACAACCAGTGTAGCATGATTTTTTTCCTCTACCTCCTCTACTAATAGAAAGGGCATTTTATTTAGGAAAATATTTATTTAGTATTGTTAGTAAACATGTGAAAAGGAGATAATTTAAAGTCTTATTTTAGAAGCAGTGGCTTCATGCTCATACACTTCAAGTTTTCTTTGTTTCCTTTCTCTTTTTCCTCTTCTGTGAAACTCTAGGGATAACTCAAGGCAGGTCCAAAATTTTCTCTAGCAAGACACTTAGAGACATAAATATATTTTATACATTCTCAATCACTAAGTATTTCCAAATACACTGAGTTTCTTTAATAGCCCTTAATTTTACAGAAAGATAAAGGACCAGAGTTAGCTCTTTTTACATACTTTAGTAAACAAATACCTCTTATATGACTATAAAGAAATTGGACTAAATCCAAATTATCTCATTATTAGAAAACATGTATTGAGAGTTAATTAGATGCAGGCCAAACTATTAAATTCAGAGCTTATCTTTAGGGCTTCCTATCTAACTGGGAAAAACCTCAATTTATTGGGGATAAGTAGGTAGAAATTAAATGACAATTTTAGACACCAAAAAGTCATGTCAACTTTTGTTAAAAAAAAAAGAAAAAGAAGTAGCCCTGGCCAGTGTGGCTCAGTTGGTTGGGTGTTGGCTTATGCACTGAAAGGTTACTCTATTCCCAGTCATGACACATGCCCAGGTTGTGGCTTGATCCTTGTTAGAGGGTGTGCAGGAGGCAGCTGATCAATGTTTTGCTCTTACATCTATGCCTCTCTCTCTCTCTCTCTCTCTCTCTCTCTCTCCTTTTCCCTTTCTCTCTCTCTAAAAGCCAATAAAAAAAAGAAGAGCCAAGCCAGTGTAGCTCAGTGGATTAAGCATTGTCCCATGGACTGAGAGTTCCTGGTTCTATTCCCGGTCAGAGCGCATGACCAGGTTGCAGGCTCAATCCCCAGTAGGAGGTGTGCTGGAGGCAGCCAGGTGATGCTTCTCTCTCACATTGATGTTTCTATCTCTCTATTTCTCTCTCCATAAAAAAAAAGAAAAAGAAGAAATAAATTAATTAACCAGACCAATAAGTGTTGAGAATCAGTCATATTGTGTATATCATGCTTTGTGAAAGTAATCTTAGAGATCTTAATAAAAGTTTGCTTTTATTTGCCTACTTTAATTGAAGAAAATTGTCTTGATATTTTTGCTAATAAAGTAAACATTTAATTTTTTATTTTTAGAGGACAGAAATTTATAAAATAAACTTAAATTTGATAGATTCTTTAGAAAAATTTTTGTCCTGATTGGAGTTATTATAATTGCTTTCAATATATTTAAGCAGTTTAGATTAGGATTATATTACATGAATGATAATGTTCTTGAAAGTATATAGAATGCACAATTTTATAAAATAGTTCTGTGTTGATGTTAATATGTGACTAGATACGCTTATCTAAACATGAGCACACATCTGACGTAAATTGACTTGATGGTTCTCCAGACTGGAATTCTAGTTCCTGCACCTACTCCCACTCATCCACCCACATCTATTGGACAAGTGCCTGATTAAACAGATGGGCCTTTGGCTGTGCTCTCAAAACAGGCAGGCTCCACCTTTACTGAGCAAAACACTGGGTGAAAGTAGGCTATATTATATTATTGTGCTTCTAGGCATGATAATTTGAGTGAAAAGCTGCTACTCATTATTTATTGTTGTTTGTTGTTAGAAATACCTTTTGCTTTATGAATGAATATTTGAAAATTGGAGGAAGACAGATGGAGTTTCAGGGATCTGGAAACCTATAGATAGGGAAGTAGTCCTCAGTCAAATACAAAAATAAAAAATCAGCAGGAGTGTGAAATGCCATGCAGTTTTATAAATGCCTGTAGCTAAAATTTTAGAGAATGTTTGAATTAGCCAAGAGACATAGGTTGATCATGAAATTTCCCCATGCACTAAAGGGTATGGGACCAAAATAGAATTTGCAACATCTTTCCTAGTGCCCCTTCAACAAGTTACTAGTTTAACAGTTAACAAAGTTTAATTTGGAGCAGGACATTAAGTCCTGGCTACCATTTCTAAAAATACTACACACTTTCTCACTGTGAGTCACAGGGATTTGGAGATGTGAGGTGATAGGGTAGCAGAAGAATTTATGACATAAGAAGTGAGTTTTGTTTATGATTGAATAATGGCATTGCTAGTCCATGTTTGTGACAGAAATATTGAGAGTAAGGCAAGAGCAACAATTAGATGGCCCTGTACTTGATTTGATGCTGTAGTATCGAATATTGAGAAAAACGTCAAAGTCATTTGCTCTCCAAGCATATTTCATGATATTCTCATTAGTGTTACAATAGTTAATAAGCTATCACATATTTAACCTCATGGAAATGAGACTGTGGGCATTTGCTCTTAAAATTATCCCTTTCTTTATTGATGGAATCGTTAACACTCTGATATTTGCTTCTCTTAATTGTGGCAATGCATGCATGGTCCTGTGGACAGCACACTAAATTCTAGTTAAAGAACCCCTACATTTCTTTCCTAAATGATTGCTTTAGTCTTCTGGTAGCTCAGGATTCTCCACAAAGAAAGGGAGCCTGGTTGCCACATACTTTCTTTATATAGCTACAGGATTTTTCTTTTTAATGGCATGAGATAATACTTATGATACCTAAGAACTTTGTGGAATAAAGCTCAGTGCAGTGACTTCTGCTTTCTGGTTGTTATGATGACTATATAAACATAGGCATAAGGTTGCTTAATATTTCAACAGAAACCTTCCCTGGAACTTTCTGAAAATTTGACCTCTTGAAAGAAATCCAAATGGAGTTATCTTATATTTTGCTTCTATAAATATGTGTGCTAGAATAATGGATAACTGGATAGGAAACGTCACAGCATTGCTTTCAAAAATGCTTAAAATTTATTTCTTTCCTTCAAATAAAGTTAACGCTAAAAGTAACATGTGTTATTTAAGAGTTCTTACTGCAAAGTGTCTTGAGATAGCTTTATTTGATGGTGTTTAATTAAAATTATTACACTTTCTTGTACATTGTCCTTTGAAATAATTAAAATTACCTAAATAACATTCTTCTTTCTCTACTTGATAAAATGGAGATTCCAGAAGATTAATTTAGATAAAAACTAGAAAATAAAAGGATCACAATACGTATCTCATTTTCTTAGGAGAGAATACATTATAAAAATAGTTACTTGAAGCCCTGGCCAGTTTTGCTCAGCGGTTAGAGCGTCGGCCTGCGGTCCGGAGAGACCCGGGTTCGGTTCCCGCTAAGGGCACGTACTTTGGTTTGTCCCCGGCCCTGGTTGGTCGTGCGGGTGGCAGCCACTCGATGTGTCCCTTCATGTCGATGTTTCTCTCTCTCTCCCTTCCTCTCTCTCCCTCCCACTCTATCTGTACAAAAAATGGAAAAATATCCTCGGGTGAGGATAAAAAAAAAAAAAATAGTTACTTGAAGAGAAAAAAGAAATAAAAATGGCAAAATATTTTAATTTTTATATCATTATCAAGCAGTTATAAAGGCTCTCTTTATACAAAAGTATGTGTATTTATAAGATATATTATTAGCATTTTATTAAACTATCTGGCATATTATATTTTTATGTATTATTTAATGTCTTTTATTTTGTTTTCTTTTAAACAGCAAATGCCAGTCTCCTTGGAGGAGGAGGTGGTAAGTCCTGAACATTACTTAAAGTATTATTTCAATACCAACCAGAGATGTTAAGTAAATTACATGATACTTTAAATAAATTTAATTTAGCTATAATTATCAATCACAAAAGTAATAATCTTCTAGAAAATAATTTATAATGGAAATATTTTAACTGACTTAAAAATATGTGGAATAGTGGTTTTTTTCTTGTCAAACTTTGTATTTCTACCTTCGGCATAAGCTGTAACAGCTATAAACTGTTGGGATGAGCACGCATATAGCAGATGACAGAGTCACTTTTAATACATTTGGAGATTTGTGGTTTTAGTTTTCTTTCTTTTTTTCATTATAATGATTATAAAAAAATAATGGCTCTGTAGCCTGAGAGCTTAATATATCAGCTAGTTACTGATGTGAATAATAAAAAAATAAATTAGTATTGACACTTTGTATTTTCTTTTAGCCTGTTTAAAGGAGAAAGAGATCAACATGAGATGAGGAAGAGAGAGATTTTTGTACTGAGAATTTATTTTTGATACTACAGCCTTATACCTATTTATTATTTTTATTTCTAGGTTGAAAGTTGAAAGCTCTCCAAGCCCCAGTTTATATAATATAGTAGAGAGGGAAAAGTACACACTAAAATAGGGTCCTTTTTCTTTAAGACCCAGAGGAACATAGTTAAATTTGTTTTCTCTCTCCCCCTTTCTCCCTCTTGCTCTCTCTTTTCATGTACATGGAAGAATACATATGATTATATGTAGCTTTAGGCTTTTTAAAAAGTGCCTAGCCTTTATCAGGATGCTTCAGTGTAATTTTATTTAGCAATTAAAATTTTAAGCATCATTTCTATATAAGAATTAATAGAATTTCAAAAACAGAATTTTGTTAATAGGAATAATAGAAAACAGTTTAAACTAGAAAATGTTCTATGGCAGAGTATTTATTTTTATCTTCCATAAATTATTTTAGAAAATATAAATCTGCAGGATTTCTCATTGCAATTATTTTTTAATTTTTTTTATTTTGGGGAGTTAGAGGGAAACTTTTTCTTATTTTAGGTGGTTTCTTAGTAAAATTTTTATCTAGGCCTCTTACAATATGTTAAATAAACATTATTAAAATAAATTTACATAGTGCTGATTTTCTTGCAAGACATATTAGTATTTTGACAAATTTGAAAATTAGATAAAAGAAAGTTAAAATTGAGTCTCTACAGATTCATCAAGTTAAACAAAAGCACATTAGCTAGACAATTTATTGTTCTTGACTATTTTTATAAACTGGCTTGACTGATTATATTAGTTAAATTATTTTAATTGCCCATAGCAGAAAAATCTCAAATGACAGTGGCTTATAGGAGCTTGAAATACACTTCTGTCTCATCTAAGAGTAGTATAGATGTAGACGGCAATGGTTGTATAGTAATTCCATGGTGTCATCAAGCACTCAAGCTATTATGTTGCTGTCTTCCTTCCTAATGCATGGAAGCCAGGGTCCGTGATGGCCAGTAGACCTCTAGCTATCATAAATTTGGGGGTCAGGAGGAGTAAAAAGGCCATGAATAAAAAAGGTGACCCCCAAAAATGAGTCAAATTTTTAAAGCAGTTTTCTTTGCAGTCTCATATTATCCATGAACTTGATCATCTGTTCATTCATGGATACATATAGTTTTATTCCAGAAAGCAATGTGTTTATCAAAAATAGAAAGTGGTGTTCTATTTTCTAAGGAGGTAGGGCAGAGTGAAGATTCTGGTGGGTAACTTGTAGTCCCTGCTATAGTGGATGGCAGGCTATTGTTCAGCAAGTCTTGTCAAACTGCTTTGTTTCAGTATATGTGTAAATAGTGTTTATGGAATTAACTCTAGTGATTTGGCCTGTATTTCCTTACAGTTCCTCTAACCTGTGTGAAAAAAAATAATTACATATTTTTAGCAATGGCACGACATTCAGGAATAGGCAAATTCAGTTTCTATTTACTGTCCCTTAGGACATATATATGATTGATTTTCCTAAACATAGTTATTGCCATTATTTCTAATTTCTGAATTCTAAAATCAGTGACTTAGCATGATTATACAGGTAAATTACAAGTTTTTAAGGTGGCTGTAATTTCTTCCATTAAAGTAGGTCATTGGCAGATTTAAATGCATTTATGTACTTCTAGAGACTTCAAGATTGCTCTAAACTACATGTCTGATTTTTGAAGGCTGTGTTTAAAAATTAAAAGTGAGAAATATTTTTAGCCTTCTTATACTTGTTTTTGGCCTTCTGATTATATGACAAATATTTTTAATCTTGTCACTGATATTTGTAAAGTGAAATCTAATAGTCATCCAGTAAGGAGTAATTAAATTGATGTAATACTGTTGGATTTAATCAAGGATTCTTTTTATTGACTTGAAATAATATCCTTTTGAAAGTCTCTGAAAGGACTAATTCTTTGATCGACTAAACAATTTGATCAAGAAAATTTGATAACTCATAAAAATAATAATGGTACTTTAAGTACTATTTTCTCAGGTCTTCAGGAGGTTGTATCTACAATTTGTATAAGTAATGCTTGAAATTTAGAAAAAATCAGTGCATATAAAAATGTATTACCCATAAAATCTTAGCAGTTTGTTGTTCTTTTTAAAGTGCCTATAAGCAAGAGGAGAAATTTACTAAAAGGAGAATTTAAAAGTGGTCACAATTAATCACCTTAGCTCTGATTTTAAAGTGAGATAATCACTACAGTGGTGTGAATTTTCATCTTTGGCCAGAGGCCACTCTTTCTAGGAACTTAGTGTCACCGACTGTAGCTTGTTGTAATGAACATAGGGGAAGGAGTCACAACTAGATAGTCATTTCAGATGAAATGCTTGGTAAAATAATAATCTTTGTTCAAATTTTTCAGATTTGTTAAAGGCAGATACATATATTACTTTCTTAAGTGTGTGGTTGGTCTATAGTGATGGATTCTACCTTTCAGGAAGCCTTTGCATTACCTATGTAATGGTATAATGTCAAAAACCCGAGAATTTTCTATTCATTTTTTTTTATAAACTTGCCATCACTGCTACCAATAGTACCATGTATAACAGCTGTATAGCACATTGATTTATAAAACAAGTAACTGTTTTTCTCACTTAGTTCTTTTATTGCTCCTATGTTATGCTGTGGTAACAAACAAGCCTGAAAATATTAGTGGCTTAATAAAATGAGGTTTATTTTTTTCTCACACCATGGTCTTAGTGGGATTGGTGGCTCCTACTCAGGCTCTCATACAGGTGGTAACACAGAGACCCAGGCTGCTTCCCCTTGGGCTACGTATTCTATGTGACATGTGGCTCCTAACGGTGCCACGGGAAGCGGGAGCTGGAAGATCTTGTGGGATATATTAATAGACCATTGTGGGAATGACTTATATCATTTATGCTCATGTTTTATGGGTCAGAATTTAGGCACGTGTCCCCCGGCATAGCTACAAGGAAGCCTGAGAAGAGTGGAATCTTCCAGAGCTCCCAGGGAGGAGGAAATGGTACTATCTCTGCCACAGTGCTCAAATGAGTTCAGTTTTATTTATTTATTGTTTTTATTTTTAATTATTTAATTAAAAATTTTATTATGAAGGCCAAAGGTTGAATGAAAAGGCAGGTATGTTGACTACGGCTCTAGGTTTCTTTGCCTTTGCTTAGTGATTTTTAATACATCTCTGCTGTTCAGATTTGCTTTTTCTGTGCACAGATAGGTAACTTTGTTTACACCAGGAAAAATGAATGAGAGGACAGGAAAACATGCAGCTGAGGTATAGATGATGCTTTTCTTGACCTATTTTCATAAATCTCAAACCCAATTGATAATTTAAAAGTACATACAACAGCACTGTTTTATGGTACCTTTGGATTTGCTGATTCATATTCCTTTGTTGTATATTTGAGGTTCTGTCATGGAACTCATTACATTTTAAATACATGTTCACTCATCTGTATGAGAATGCTTTACATGAATGAAGTTCTGTGATGTTATACTTTTAGAATGTATAATAAAAATAAATCTTTTCCATCAGCCTTAAATTGTCAAGAAGCAGAATTAGAAAGAAAAACGTAGTAAATTCCTCAATTCCTTTTAAATCATTACATAGTAGAACAGAATAAAATTTACCATCTCTTTCTTTGAATGTCTTTTCCCTTTCATTGTCACAATAATTAACATAAGACCAGAATCTGATAATAGAGGCCAATGCTTATGAGATTTGCTTCCTCTTAAAGTCTGTCAAGGCTCCTGAGTACTGAAGCCTGAGGCAGACTGTTAGACATTTAGTGACATTTCCTGACAGAGTAGCAATTTAAGGTTGGCTTTTATGCACATTACTATACAGGATTGCTGTTTTAATCATGCACATATGCATACACATGTACATGTACATGACATATTCGAATCAATACTGTAATTTTGTACCTTATTTTGAGGTGATTCTGTGGCAGGTTAGTTTTAGAAATTCCAAGTGTAAACAACTACCACCAAATAAACAGTCAGTCCCAGCTCAGGTGTGTGATCTCCCCCACCTCTGTGAGCTTCTCGCTGTCTTTATGCCCCTTAATGTGGGCCCTCAAATTGACAAGGTGGCCTGGGGTTAGTTACTGGTCCTCTGAACTCTCTCATTTCTTGTTTGGACTGTTCTACCTGCAGGGAGAATTCCTATGCTTTTTTGTTGTTAATGTTAAGGTATATGTTAAGGCAGTTTTTATTAGGATCCAAAATGCATGCTTCAAAATCAGTAAAATCATAAAACTGTTTGGTGTTATGCAAGAGATACCATTAGTGTATCTCCATTCATGTATTCAACAGATATAATTCAGTCTCTACTGTGTATTTATTGATTTGGCAGAAAATACAGCCCTTTTCCTGTGAACAGGCATGATCTCTGTTTGGTTGTATTAACTGAGCAGTTACAATTTCCCATGTTCTTTCAGGTATTCCAAGTTGTTGTTTTTTTTGTTTTTTGTTTTTTTTGGCATGAGGCTTTTGAATCC